CCATAGTGATTTCCGGCCAAAAAATCCTTCAATTTTGGAAAAAGATGGTAATCACTTGGAGCCAAGTCTGGGCTATAAGGAGGATGTTCAAAAACTTCCCACTTAAACTGCTGAAGCAAGTTCTTTGTCAATGCAGCAGCATGCAGATGTGCGTTACCCTGAAAAAGCACAATACCTCTGGACAACAATCCCTGCTGTTTGTTTCAAACTGAAGCTTCATTCATCACATTACTGTAAACCTCAGTTATCTATCTGTAAATTTTGATAGGGCAGACTTTTTTGCATTCAAAAAGCATATTACACTAAAAACTTCACACTTGGCGGGATCTTTAATTTTGTTGCACATTTCAAAGTCACACTATAAACAAATTATTGTGGCTTACTGTTAGCGTCAGACTGGTGCAAAAAAATGGGAATGTCCATAACACGGCACTGGGGGGTGGTGGTGGGAGAACTGTGTGGCTCATCAGATCAAAACGTTCTTTTCTTTTAGGATGACCCTTGTACAGTAATGAGTGTGAAAAAATATGCATTGTACAGTCAAAAGCACAGTAAACTGCCACCACACAATGATCAGTATGAAGATGACATCATGGAGTCAGTTATGATATAATACATAACCCAGTCTATATCAATGAAATATCACTATTAACATAAACATATACTTTTGAATAACTTTGTTTGTTCTAATTTTTAATAAATTACTTAAACTATTAGGTTGTTTGGAAAGTAAGTTTGTTTTTTTCCGTGGAAAAAAAAACACAATATTTTTATAATAAATAAATATTTTATTGAATTATATATTAACCATTTTGGTCAAATACCTGTTGTCATTGTTTCTGGTAGTAGCATGATTTCACATCCATAAAAGTTTTGCTCATTGCTTACAAAAAACTGATTCAAGTGATTTTTGACATTGTCATTTCAAGTAAATGTCTTACAGTTAAAAAAATTTGTATAGACCGGAACAAGTAATAATCTGAGTGTGCTTGATCTGGTGAATATGGTTGGTGTGATAGCACATCCCATCTAAGTTATAACAGTTTCTGACGAGTTACCAAACTTTTGTGAAATTTGACATTACCGTGGTAAAACACTAAATCTGTTTTGTTGATTATTTCTGGCTGCCTTTTCTGTTTGATGATATTACTCAATTTGTTTACTTGATGGCAGTACACTTTTGAATCAATTGTTAAATTGTCTGGTAAAAGCTCCAAATAAAAATTTCCTTAAAATCCCATCAAAAAGAGCATCTCTCTTTAAGAACACATGGAATCCAAGCTTTGAAACAAAAACAATTTGTTTCAAGTAATCATAAACAGTTCAATTAGACAAATTTAATCTCTTAGTGATTTCACGTGTTGTTATTTGGTAGTTTGCTTCAATCAGTATCTTTTTTGTTTTCATTGGCTTCAACTGACCATCCAGAACGTGGTGCATCTTCAATATTGAGATTGCCAGAATGAAATTTTGTAAACCTGTTTTGGCACTGTCTTTCTCTCAACACATCATCTCCATACATGTACCACAATTTTTTTCTTGCTTGAACAACATTTTGATTTTTTGGAAATAAAAAAGCAAAATATGCCAAAAATGCTGCTTTCGATCTTCCATATTTGATGGGACACAAAAAATAAACAATTGCACAAAATCAAACAAAATTTTTTACAAATAAGCCTTAAAATGCTAGCTGTCAAAATATATAATGATAATATGGCTTAGAATGAAAATGGCAGGAAAAATACGACTAATCCATCTAGTGGTAAAAAAAAACGAACTTACTTTCTGAACAACCTAATAATTTTATTTCAGATAAATATTGTCTTTTTTTTTTTAATATGTTTATTCTAAATTATTCAAATAATATTTGGGGATGGTATTGGTCCAACTAATTTCACTTTTTATTTAATAATAATAATTTTTCATAAAATGTAATATATGAAATTGCTACTTATTATAGTAATTTATACTTTAATTTACAGGAAATATGTTGTCATAACTTTCTGAATAATTGGAATAGAAATAACTAATTACATTAAATGCTTCTATTTGTAATTAGTCAAATATTTTAAAAACTCTTTTGGGCATTCCATCTTTTTGAAATTTGTGACCTGAAGCAGGTCTTAGAAGTAGACCAAAAACATCTGTGTTTTTCTGTACATCATTCTACTGGATTAGTGTCAAGGAGGGAGTTTTTACAATACGGTATAGTCCAATTTCTGGATAGTTTGAAATTCTTAGTTTATAACTGTAGTATTTGTCCTGGCCAGTGATGTAGAAGTTTATATGTTAAGAAATTTGGTTAGTTCAAAATATGGCCACTTTAAAATTTGATGTGAAAATTCAAAACTGTGAAATGCATATATTCACTCATACGTTTAGATGGAAGTTTACATGCTCCATACTATAAGAGAATAATAGATCATGAACAACTCTAATCTGGTCAACATGGCTTTGCTTTTACAGAAACACATTATCAGGTGTCACCTCAGCTGGAGTAAATATATTATTTGACATTGGTGTAATCATGAGAAATTAATTCTTTCTCCCCAGATATTTTCTGTTGGGTTTAAGTTTGCTAATTTCACTAGCCAAAGTTAACATATTTATTTTAGAATGATGATAAAATAACTCTTAACAATTTTACTAGTATGAATCTGACAGTTATCATGCACAAAAGTGAAAGAGGAATTTTCAGAATCAACTGCTTAGATAGTAGGCAACAAAACTGATTCAAGTATGTTTACTCATATACTTCACTTGAATATATAATCAGTTTGGTCTAGTTTGCCTGGACCATCTGCAGAAATCCAACCCCAACATTTACATTCTTATGATCTAAACTAGGTAAATGGTCTACATTTTCACATAAATAATGAGTTCCAGTTGGTCTGTAGCAATGAAGTTCTCCATGAGAATTTGATGAAAATGTTTTCTCATTTGAAATCCTGACTTTTGGAAAAAAGCCAAGAGAGTATGATAAATATTGTAACACAAAACCAAGTCTTGCCTCTTTCTGTCCACTTATCAAATAATCTTTTATTGCAGGGCAATGGTGAGTATAGCCAAATTTTTTAAATTGCTTTCATACAGTATCTTTATATGAGCAATGTAATGTAATTTTTCAGTAATACCTCATTAGATAAAGAATGTTCAATGACATCATTAGTAATTTCTTGATTCTGTGTCAAAGATGATGTTTGTGGTTTACTGGATTTTTTTCAGTATAAATTATGTTCTTGCCACTGATTTATCCAATTTGAAATAGTTTTATGATGGATATCAATTTATAAATTGTTGTTCTCATTGAAGTTTATTAGATTTCCATAATCCTATAATTTATCCTTTGACATCATTCAAATTTCTTGGCATTACAATGGAGGGAAATAATGCATTCAAACTAAAATTATTATATTAATTTTAATATAGAGGTGAAAATCATTTGCACTCAACTACAAGTATCTTTATTACAGTTCAAAACAAATTTTTTTTTTCCATGTTCAATTTTAACATTCTACATATAGAAGAAAATCAACCAGAAATGATAAAAATTCAAATCATACCATATTCCTTCTAGCAGACAATATTTATTATTTTTTATACATCTAATTCCCTGAGATTCAATGTACAAATTAAGATCATCTGATCAGTTGTCATGAGAACAGAAAAATAATGTAAACCAAAATACATTCAGAATTTGTTATAGCCTGATATCAATATATTTATTTATTTGTGATAAATTAGTTCAAGAAATTTATTAACATTTGGAATGAGTAAAGTTTCTCAAAGCATATTTCTAAGTTAACATTGACATTCAATTAATCTAGTTTGCATTATACATTATGTCAAATTTGACTCCATGACATTATGTGGATTGGTATGAGTTGGCAATTTACTTTTGTTGTTGACTGTACTTGCCTTATGAATTCTATATCATTGCTATACAGAAACACATTCATAAAATGTGTGTATAGTGAACAAGATTTTACACATTTTATTTCATATTAAAAATGATAAAAGTCCAATTACAATTACATATGTAATGTTTAATTGTCCAAGTACAATTAAACATTGTATTATGTAAAGTTAGTGCCAACAAATTGACATCTATAGGAGTGCATGTTCTGAACTTTGTCTGTAGCATAAAATAAAATGTCTTCAAAATATCATTGTTCAACGATTGTCCATATATTGGGTATATGTCCAAAAACATCTTTATTAGAGTTTATCATTTATAGTTTTTAAACATTTTATTTCATGTAATCTAGAATTGATGTTTTTTATACTATTTTTATATACTTTGAAATAATTTTTCTTTCATATTGTTTTTAAACTTCATTTAGCTTGTTAACAAAGGGATAATTGCCAAGTTTACAAGCCAAAGCTTTAAATAATATAGCTTATATAATTTTGTGCATTTCTTTTTTGTAGTTTAGCAGTAATCAATTAAGATATAATGAAGATTTAATTGCATTTAAAAAATTATTGATGAATTTTAAACATTTAAAACATACATAGAAGAGACTGTTGTTAATCCGGAATCAGCGGAGAGACACTCAGACAAAACACATCGTATTGGTTAAGGTATCTTCGTTTAATCAAGGAGGTAATGTACAAATGAGTCTTTACATAACAGTAGAATGAACATCTGTATGACAGATAGTAGACCGAACAAAGGAACAAAAGAAGACAAAGGGTCATAAAACATTTTTTGGTTTTGGGAAGGTCCCTCTAATGGGTCAAATTGGTTTGCGTCGGGAGTACCGACAGAGACTACAATGTCTTTATTTTTTCACCATGTCCAATCACCAGGAAATCTATCTGCAGGGAAGACTTGTTCCTGCTGATTGGACATGGTGAAAAATGAAGACATTTTAGTATCTTCTATGTATTTTTTTAAAATGAAGATTTAATATTTATTTTTTTGTTGAAAATTAATTTATTAAGTTATTAAATTTTTAATAAGAATATAAGTTTGTCCTCTATTTTTTCCATTTTAGATGGACATTTCAGCTCTAACTGGTGTGCCTGAAGAGCATATAAAAACTAGACGAGTAAGAATTTTTGTTCCCACAAAAAATGCCATGCAATCAGGAACGAATAATACTCATCATTGGAAAATGGAATTTGAAACAAGAGAGAGATGGGAAAATCCATTAATGGGTTGGTCTTCTACGTAAGTGTATATAATTGCTTTTATTTTTCATATCAAATTGAAATTTTACAAAGTTAAGTAAAAGGTTGAATAATTTATATTGTACTAATAAGATCAACAATTTAAACTATTAAGCATTTTTATTTATAGCTTTTTTCCATATAATATGGATACATGTGTATTGCAAAAAATAATATACATTATAATGAAATATGACATAATAATGAAATATTACATAATGCATTACTCTTTATAATATCAAAGACTACTATAGTATACATTATTTAGTTATTTAAATTTACTACATATCAACAAAGTTTATATCTAGAATAAATATAATGAATATTAAGATTTTGTTGAGGGAAGTTTTGTTTTTACTGTGAACATTGATTTAAAGTAATTATAGATTTTTGGATTATTTTTAATTTCTTAACTCCTCTAGAGAAAAATTTTGATAGCATGTTAATTCATTTTCTACCAATATTCAGCTGTATCATGAATAAATTTTAAAATATAAAATAGATATATCACTTAAATTATTTTAAATGCTATAATACAGTATATTAATTTACTTATGATATCTTTACATGGAAAGATGTTTTTCTGCTGTTAATATAATTTGGGGATATAAATAAATATGTTTTTCAATATTTTTTCAATAGACTTTTCTTTTTACGACACCAAATTGATTTGTCATTCACATTCCAGGCACAAAATAGCCACTTGGTAGTATATTTACTAGGAAAATATTCATATCTGGCAATCAAAATAGAAAACTTGTATCACATTTTAAATGTCTTTATAGTTTGTTCTATAATACCCAATGGATGTGTCATTCTCATTCCTGGTGCCCACTAATCAATTATAATATGACTATGACCCACAGAAGATAGTTATCTGGCAAAACATGACAGACAACATTATATGAGTTATCTTGTAGATGACACCTGTTGTTCGATTAATATCACCATGAATGGGTTGATTTTTCACTTCTTGCATATTCTATGTAAAAAAAAAAAATAGGATAAGAACAGTGTGGGAAAGCATTTTCAAATAACATTTAATATTTATTAAATGTTATTTGAAATGATTTTAATATTACAAAAATTGTGAATGTCTAAATCAAAATTATATTCTACAATATCTCTCCAACAACTAATGTACTAGTCTTCTATTGGGCACACTCAACAAGATGTATTCTTTCATATATGGATAGGCGTTTTAGGCACTACTACATGGATTTAATTGAAAACTAAGGATACTGAATAAATTTCATTGAATATGTATCTAAAAGGAAGCTGAGTGTGGCTTCTAAAAAAAACCACTACATAAATTTTGTTGAATAAATAGTATAATAAAATACTTTATAATTAACTAGAAAAAATACAGTATGTGATCGATTTCAAGAAAGGATTAATATACAATTCCCAGTAAATGCAATACCCAATAGAAGACTAGTACATTAGTTGTTGGAGAGGTATTGTAGAATATAATTTTGATTTAGACATTCATAATTTTTGTAATATTAAAATCATTCATTCTGATTCACAACATGCCATTATAAATTAGAATTAATAAGTTATTGAAAATGAGCATAAAACTGCTTTGGAGAACTTATACAGAGACATCAATGTGATTGATCAGACTCAGATCAATTCATTGGAATTACTAATTTTGTTCTTGTTTATATCATATTCTTTAACATTCTGTCATATTCATAATACAATTTACAATATTTCTTATTCTATACTTTTTGAATTTATCTATCTTCTTTACATAATGCTTAGTATCAAAAAAATCCTCACTACTATATGATTTTTTAATAAAATTTTATTTTTTTATAGAGGTGATCCTTTATCAAATATGAATATAAAATTTTCAAGTAAGGAAGAAGCAATAGCCTTTTGTGAAAAAAATGGTAAATATTTAGTTCATTAATAAATTTAAACATTTTGGAGAAAATACAATTTTAATATTTTGTAAAATAGGATGGCCTTATTTTGTGGATGAACCTGTTCCTAGAACACTTAAACCAAAGAGTTATGGAGCCAACTTTTCTTGGAACAAAAGGACCAGAGTATCAACTAAATAATTAATATAAATATATATTGTATATAGACAATTACATAATAGTTAAAAATTAGTTAGTTAAAAACATACTGTAATGTTTTAAAAACATAAGAGTGGATTAATAAATAAATGGCCATGGCAAACAGTACTTGATTGCCCAAATGATCCACACACATAAATTTGTGAAAAATGAAAAGTAACTAATTTAAATAAAATCAAATAAACAATTTTATATGGTTTGTGTTAAATATTAATTCAGTACAATAATTATTTAACTTTTCAACATGTCAGTATTTTATTGGAAAATATGTAATAAGTTCATGATGATGGACATATTTAACCGTCTTCATAGATATATATCTATGAACCTATTTATATGAAAATCTCAATTATGTAAATTTGCATAATTAAATTAAAAATTTCTGTTCTTTGTAGTATCAAAACTTTAAATAAATTACTAATTATCTAAACAATTAGTAAGATGATTTAAAAATATATAATGGTAATACTTAAATGTTGTTTAGTAGGCTTATTGAAGTAATGAGATAAAAACAAGAGATGCCACTTATATATATAAAAATGAATGTATGTCTGTCTGTGTGTGTGTCCTTCATGCATTACCACACCGTTTATCCGATTGCCGTGAAACTTTGGGAAGTTGTTTAATATACTCCAGCGAAGGTTTGTGGCATAGTACGATTGCCATGAAGCTTTGGAAAGTTTTTTAATTTTTTAATACACTCCCGCGAAGTACATTTATCCTACGATAGATGGCGCGCGTTTACACGAGCATTCGCGCACAGTGTGTTCGATCGATTTCAAATTGTGAAGACCATTTCCCCCCTTCAAAAAATATCTGTATATATGCATTTTTAAACTGTTATTTACGATATTTATAATAATTTTTTTTAATCACTTTGATTGTTGCTGCTTCCCTCGTGTTACATAATTTTTTTTTAACCGAAAGCAGCACAACATACTGTCCAACAGGTTTTGTCGACACAGAAGATTCGGATCATTCAGTCAATCTG